GAGTACAGTGCATCGCCAGTGGCGACATGGCCACAGCTCCAACGTTCACTAGTGGAAAACCGCCGGACAACCTTCAAAAGACGTGTCTTTCAACTGCACATCATCTCTAACAAACCACACTCCAAAACAATCCCCCAGCTAGAACAAATTTTCAAAATAGTGAAGGGATCACTGTTCATACAAATCGCCTGGGAGCTACTGAAATTCCCCAAGCGAGTTTTGGGCCAAGTAAAAATATTCCAAGCCATGGAAACTCTTCTGCATCACCAAACGCAGCTCCCCACCAAAATTCAAGCAATTCCACCGGGGGAATTGTCTTCTCCGACGAGTTGCAAAATGCCGGTGTAACAGAAATATTTTCCCATGGAGTTCCAGGTGTCCAATTGAAAGAAGCAAGGTACCAAAATGCTCGCCTTGATGAGGAGAACATGCTAGCATCATCAATTTCATCTAGGTATCAACCAATTGCTCTAATTTTTTTCAATCATTGTGCCCAGGCAGTCTGTCTTCTCCAACTGTTCGACAAATGACAACATCTTTCCTGGGACAATTTGGCAATAACAACCAATTGCAAATACTTCTACATCACCTAAGGAACAAGTCTCCAAAATTTCAGGCCAATGAAACATGGAAATTGATCACCATGATCACCGGAAAAGCTCAGAACTACACCATTTGGCCGGACATGGTCTTCCAGGGAACCAAATGGCTCAAGACCAATGCCAAAAGATTCGTACAGCTCAGGAGAGTGTTTTGAAATCTTCAAACCAAATTTTACATGGTCCAATCTCGTCCAATATTACAAAAGGTACTCCTGCACACTATAGCTACACATACGTTCGACGAAATGTCAATGCTCCCTTAAGCCCAATTCAACCTATTTCATTGAGTGGAGATAATCCTCTTATTCATAAGGATGCTACATGCCAAGTTTCACAACAATTCATTGGAGGAATTGATTCCTCTGAATTGTTAAAAGGCCCAGTTTTCACACAGTTGGTCGGAGATGGTGACACAGGTGATCAGCTGTTATCAGGCCAATTTGAGGTGATCTCTGATGCTACACTCAATGTTTCTATCATCCCTACTCCTCCAAACTACCACCAGAATGTCACAACCTCACACCCCAAAGTCCCAGTTCCACAAAGGGTCGATAATGTTGCAACAACTGCTTCTCTGTGATCAATGTCAAGCTGAACCTCCTGTTATTAAAGATGTTCCAACCCTTAATGTTGATCACACTGAAACTCAACACCAAAACCCTCACATTTTGACCTTAGGTAACAATCTTGCTCCTTCTTTTTCTCCTGTACCAACACATACCAATCCAAGTAACAAAACTCCCTCATATGATCAAAACCATAATAAACCAGTCAAAAATTCCACTCTCAAGGTTTCTTCTAACTTTGAGAGACCAAACATCCCAAGGAAAAACCAAAAAAACCACACCAAACCTCTGGAGAAAACAGTGCAACCCCCCAATCCAACCTAGCTACCACTATCATACCTCAACCTAATGCCAACGAAAATAAAGACAAACAACAAGTAAATCCCCCTCCTCTACCTCCTACTGTCACTCACTCTTATGTCACAAGGCTCAGAGCTAGACATGAGGCTGAGAGGGAACCAATTTCATTTACCCCACCAAAGATAACCACCAAGCAACGCCAACCTGCAGTAATATTCAAAATGGAAGACTACATGGTGAGATTTGCAGATAGGTGCAAATTCACAGTAGTAGGCAAGTTCTCCAATACTATGCCTAGATGGAAGTCATTAGAAGAAGTTTCATTGCCCAAACTGAGTTTAAAGGAGGAGTCAAGATAGCTCATTTCAATGCTAGGACTGTGTATATTGACTTTGATAATGAATATGATCATTCCACTGTGTGGGCCAAACAGTATATGTACATCCAAGGTCAAATGATAAAATTGGAAGCATGGTCTCCTGCATTCAAGCCAAATGAAGATTCACCCATTGTGCCAATATGGGTGGTTGTCCCGAAATTACCATGGCACATATACTACATGGAAATAATCACACCACTACTGTCACCTAATGGCAAAGCTTTATACCTGGACTTGGCATCTTTCCAGAAAACAAGGGGGTGTGTGGCCAAGGTAAAGATTCAAATTTACCTCACCAAGGAAAGACCTCATCATGTATGGCTTGGATATGATGAGGATCAGGATGAAAATGGGGATGGAGAATGGCTTGAGGTACAATATGATAATGTGCCTGCTTATTGTAATCACTGCAAGCATCTGGGCCATTCTGAATACACATGTGAAATCAGACTGAAAGAAGATGAAAAAAAGAAGAAGAAAGAGGAAGAAGCTGCTGAAACAAGTGATTCCCATGCCACCAATCAAAATAAATCTCACAATAAAGACAGAACAAGCGAGAATCAAAAGAAGGAATAATGGGGAATGCCAAAAACAACTGCACAAGACCAAAGGAGAAGCCACGCCAGCAGAACATCAAAAAGTAGCAGAACACCAAAGCTCAGTAGAACAAATAACAAAAGAAGACTGGCAAATCCAAAAGAGAAAGAATTTTAAAGCCAATACCCAAAGCAAGAGGCAACAACAACTTTACATGCCAAAACAATCAAATACTCAACAACAACAGGTTGCACCAAATGAGATTCAGCAACAGGTCACACAATCATCACAACCATCAGGTATACCCCTTACCAATCCTCCAGCTCAACTGGAGAGGGGTGTAGAATCTGGTGCCCAGAATCAACCCATTCCCCCTATTCCCCCCTCTATTTCTGTTGGTTGTGAAGTAACTGGAGGAAAGGAGAATTGTCATGAGACACCTATAGCCAGGCAGAAAGGGGTACCAAATGGGGAGGGGCTTCCTCATGTTTTGCATGAGTGTGCTAATGCACAATTGACTGACCATAGGATTAACCAACCATCCCCTGCTACTACAGTCTCCAATTCAGGCAAACAACAAGCCCAGCATTGTGGTAGTGTGATCATTGAGGAGGATTCAGAATCCTTCATTTCTGAAGAAGATCCTTCTGCATAAATGAAAGCACTGCTCAAAGGAAAAGCCAAAGTTGCAGCTGACTTCCAAGTCCGGTCTCAGAACACAAAACACAAACCCAGTCACAAAAAGAGGAAAGCTATGAGGAACAAAAATGCAGGAATCAGTATAAATGAACCACCTGATGACTCACAGTTTGTGAGCCCTGCAATCCAGCAAAGATTCAAGCCTGATCCCAATGCAATAGTAGAAGTATACAGGAGCTCGGTAATAGCTAATCCCTCCCCCTCCCAACCTTTGTTATCCAATAAAGAACCAATATCAGATGGCAATGCATCAGAACCACCTACAAATGATGAAAAACTCAGTCCCAAAATAGACAAAGCCACTTGTATTCCTACCAGCACCCCCAGAAAAAACCATCTCTTGCATCTTTTACAAATGGTCCTGGAGGAGTGTCCTCTGAACAGATATACTCCACAACAAGATGAGTATAGACTAATTGAATCCAACGATGAAATAATTGGGGAACAAGATGTTGACAACGATTCTAGTGATGAAGATCTTGAAAAGGAACAACATTGTGATCTCTTGATTGCTGCAATGAATGGAAAGTCAAACCAGAAAAATGTCGCTTCTGCAACAGTCCCACCCCGAACGAGCCCCTCACCAAAGCTAACCAGGAGTAGAGCTGCTAGAAAGAGAAGTAGCAGTGTCCAACCAAAACACAGCCACCTCCTTCCAATGATTAGTACAATCATTTGGAATGCAAGAGGCATTAGGACCTCAGGAGCCATTGAAAGGCTCAAACTCCTGAAACAAATCCACAAACTTTATTTCATTGGTGTCCTTGAACATTTCCTAGACATCTCTCACATCAACACCTTTAAAATCCAACTCTCAATGCATCAAGTTGCTGCTAATGTCAATGATAAGATCTGGGTATTCTGGGATAAGGAAATCACTACCAAGGTTTTAGATCATGATGATCAACAATTGTCTTTGGTGATGAAGCATGTTGAAAATGGCAACTTGTTTCATCTAACAGTCATCTATGCCAAATGCAAACCAGTCCTCAGAAGGCCATTGTGGAAAGTTCTAAGGCAGAAAGCATCAACCTGCAGTATTCCATGGTGTGTCATAGGAGATTTTAATGTCATTGCTTCTGTAGAAGAAAAGATTGGTGGCATTCCATACCAGATGTCCAAGAGTCTTGATTTTCTAAGCATGATGGAGGACTGTAGCCTTGTGGACTTGGGTTTCTATGGTTCTAAAGTCACATGGTCTAATGGAAGGGGGCAATGTTCCATTGTATGGAAAAGGTTAGATAGGGGACTGGCCAATGATCACTAGCTAGAAGCCTTTCCTGCTACCACAATTTCTCATTTAGCTTCAGCAAGATCTAATCACAACCCCCTACTCCTGGAACTTCATACAAGACAAGACAATGGAAAAAAATACTTCAAATTCCTCAATTGCTGGGTGGACAACAACAGCTTTCTCCCTCTGGTCTCTGAAAGCATGAACAAAGAGGTTAGAGGTAATGCTATGTGGGTGTTTCACTAAAAAATGAAAGTGCTAAGCCATGCTCTAAGTCTTTGGTCTAGACAACAATATGCGGATATCTTCCAAAAAGCTTAAGAATTGGAATAAAAGGTGAAGAATGCAGAAGTGATCCAGGCCCAGACAAACAATGACAATGACAGAGCAACTCTCAATGAGCTTAAGGCTCAATATGTTAGACATCTAAAGGTTGAGCAGGATGTTCTGAAACAGAAAACACAACTACAATGGTTCAAAGAAGGGGATGCCAATTCTAGATACTTCCACAGCTTAATAAGAGGGAGAAGAAGGAAATTGTACATCCACAAAATCAAGAATGAGGAAGGAGAATGGTTCCAAAGAGATGAAAATATAGGGAAGGCTGCCAATGATTACTTTCAGAACCTCTTCACAGACCCTGGCTCAGTTATAGAGAAGACTTGTTATCCATTATTCTGACCATGATATCTAGTGATGACAATGATACACTCACCAGGGATCCATCAATGGCAGAGCTCAAGGAAATAGTGTTCTTCATGAACCCTACTAGTGCAGCAGGACCTGATGGCATGAATGGGAAATTCTATCAAGCCTGCTAGGAAGTGATCAAGGAAGATTTACTCAAAGTTGTTCTATCATTCTTTAGAGGCAATCCAATGCCCAGATATATGACCAATGCATGCCTTGTTCTCTTGCCTAAGGTTGAATTCGTTAACAGTCTCACATAATTCAGGCCAATCTGTCTCAGCAACTTCATCAACAAGATTATCTCCAATGTTATTTGTTCAAGGCTTGGTCCCATACTTCCAAAGATAATCTCTGCAAACCAATCTGGCTTTGTAAAGAGCAGGAACATCTTTGAAAATATCATGTTGGCACAAGAAATAGTGCATGGTATCAAGAAGCCAACTGTGGGGTCAAATGTGGTCATCAAGCTTGACATGGCCAAGGCCTATAACAGAGTATCCTGGAGTTTCACTTGCATCATACTTATGAGAATGGGATCCAGTGAAATGATCATTGACATGATCTGGAGAACAATGTCCAACAACTGGTATCAATCATTGTTAATGGCACTAGATGTGGATTCTTTCAGTCTACAAGAGGCCTTAAACAGGGTGATCTACTTGCCCCATCCTTATTCATCATAGGAGCTGAACTATTGTCTAGAATGCTCAACATTCTGAACCATGATCAGCTATTTCAGGGATTTTATATGGAGAAGAGAGGTCCTCAAATCAACCACCTAAGCTTTGTAGATGATATCATCATCTTCACCTCTGGAAGAAGAACCTCCCTGAGAAAAATCATGTGGATCCTTAGCAATTATGAGAAGACATCTGGCCAACTCATAAACAAACACAAGAGTCAATTCATGACTGCTTCCTATGCACTCCCAAGTGCTATCAGAAGAATTCAAGAAGTGACAGGCTTTTCTAGAAGGGATTCACCACTCACATACCTGGGATGCCCTCTGTATACTGGTAGGAGCAGAATTATGCACTTCAATGGTCTCATTTCCAAGGTGCTAGGCAGAATAAAAGGTTGGCATGGTAAGATGTTATCCTATGGTGGCAGGGCAACCTTGATCTAATATGTCCTTCAATCCTTACCAATCCATCTTCTTTCTGCAGTATCCCCTCCAAAGACTGTCATGAAGCAAATTGAAAGGTTGACAGCTAGCTTCTTCTGGGGAATAGATAAGGACAAAACAAGTATCACTGGGCATCATGGTCTAAGCTATCCTTCCCTCTCAATGAAGGTGGTGTGGGTTTCAGAACCATTCATGATACCTGTAACTAAAGTAGTGGTGGAATTTCAGAACAGCAAACTCTCTTTGGAGTTCATTCTTGAAGGCAAAAGTACTGTCAAAGATCAAATCCCATATCTAAGAAATAGGACTCAGGCCAATCACAATCATGGAAAAGATTGATGTTCAATAAGAAAGAAGCAGAAAAAGTAATTGAATGGAGACTCTATAATGGGAAATGCAGCTTTTGGTGGGACAACTGGCTTGGCTCTGGGCCATTGGCATACAGCAGAACAGAAGGGGGCAGACCAGGCAACACATTAGTGTCTTACTTCTGGAATGAAGGCCAATGGGACCTTCAAAAGCTCAATATAGCTGCCTCAGCACACAAAATTCCAGAGATCATGCAGACAACCATCCATTTCAACCTTGACCTTCCTGATAAACCCATCTGGACACCTACTGTCAAGGGCAATTTCACCTGTGCTTCTGCATGGGATCTCATCAGAACGGAAAACCCCCCTAACTTCACCAATAGAATGACTTGGCACAGGAAGATCCCTTTCAAGTGGTCATTCTACTTGTGGAGAGCACTTAGAAACTAACTCGCAACATATGATAGAGTGAAGATTATCAGTAGTCCAACAGTTACCAGGTGTGTATGCTGTTCTATGCATGCTCTAGAAACAGTTGACCACCTCTTCAGCTCTGGGAACTTTGCAAGAATCATATAGAAGAAATATGGAGGCTATATAGGCATTCAAACTGAAAACCTGTCTCTGGGGCTGCTTCTTATGAAATGGTGGATGCTGAAGACTCATAACTCTATGCAAAAGCTCATCTTAGATACCCTCCCCATTATCATTTGCTGGAATTTGTGGAAGAACAGATGCAGTGAAAGTATGGGGCAAAAACCACCTCCCTGACTAGAGTCCTCTACTCTATCAACTCTGACATCAACTTACTCTTAAGATCCAATTTTCCTGATCTCCAATGGCGTTTCAACTGGGGTAACTCTATGCCTTTATTGAAAATCTTCAGCAACACACCACCTCAACTCAAGTGATTCGAAACAAACCAGACAATGGTTTTGTTAAGAACAATTCTGATGGGAGTGCAATGACCAATCCTGGAAAGATTGGAGGGGGTGTCATCATCAGAAACCACCATGGTCAATTTATCCATGCAATTGCATCTCCTTTAGGGGAAGGTTCCAATAATTTGGCTGAAACTGAAGTAGCTTTATTAGGTATCAACTGGTGTATTAAGAATAGATTCACCAAAGTCCGCCTTGAAGCTGATTCTGCATTGTTAAGCCATTGGTTGACAATTGATGCAGTACCCCCTTGGACTCTGAACATGCCCATCCAAAAGCTCAGGCAACTCTATCAACAATGTGAAACTATTACATACACTCATGCCTACAGAGAAGCCAACACTCCAGCTGACTCACTTTCCAAAATTATCCACACCCTTCCAAACATCACCCACTACACCAATATGAATGAGCTCCCCTCTCACATTAGAGGCCAGATTTACCTAGACAAATGGCCACTCCAGCTTTCAGGCATAAACTGACCAAGAAGCTCATAAAACCTTCAGTGGCATCCCCATCCTCCTCACATCGTTATGGTTAACATCTTCTTTAAAAGGGGGAGCAGACATAATGGTCCAAGCAATTCCTCCATCATGTGGAAATGTGTGATCATGGGATTTTCACTAACTCAGTTTGTTCTTTTGCAGGTTGTCTTCTGTTATGAACTACCCAGTTATTTGTTGTTGTTTTAGGGTGTGGTATTAGCCTATTGGCTCAGCCTCCTGGAATCACAACAAAGGAACGATGTATGTTGTAAAGAGCATAAAGTCCACCGTATAAGGCATGCAATGGAATTTCACAGTAACCCCCTCACTTCACCAATCATAATTGCACACAACAACACCACCTTCTGTGTTTCCAAACACAAGAACTCACAAAAACACTCTCATAAACAATCATACACTCACAGACATCAATCAATAAACACCAACCTTCATTAAAAATGCATCGGTATACACAAGGGCCTGATTGCAAACAAACAAGAACCTCATGATAACAACAGATCCAAAAAACTGGGCAGAAGTGCCAATTTTTTTTTTCACCATGTTTGCTATTTTGTAGGTTCCTATTGTTCCTACTTGCTTAGCCAATTGACATATTTTCAGAGTGTGGTATTAGCATCTATGATGCACATTCCTATGAAAATACACCAATTGGCTAAAGCACAACATCAATGGAATAAGGCCAATAGTCATTCAATAACAGAAATCCCCAAAAAAAAACCAAAAATAAAGCACCAGTTTCAGCAGTAAACATCAACAAATCAGCTGAGCAATCCTTTCCCTCACCTCAATGCTACAGCTTTCCCACAGTATGCAAGAACCCCTCTCAAGCTAACTGTGCACTACATCACAGAAGGGCTACATGCATATGCAACAGAGCTGCCTCTACATCCGTCTCTGCTGCAGCTTCTGAACTCCCTCCAAACCACAGAAATAAACATACAACTAAATGCAGTCAACACAAGAACCTACAAACAGTTGCTCATCTAAAAGCAGAGCTGCCACCACTTCCCCCACATCCCCTGAACCCATACTCACTTCCAGAACCCACAAGAACCTGGAAACAGATCCCCCTTTCACAAACATGTTTGCTAATTATTGCAGATACCAGGGATAAGCTCAAACTACTGGTGCAACTGTTAGGAGTGTGATAGTTTATATGAGTCCACCAAACTATAGAGTACCAAGTCCTCTATGAGTGTCCACTGAGAACGTTAATGAAATAGTAAGTAGATAAGACAGGGAGTTTTACGTGGAAAAACCCCTGCTCAAGGGGATAAAAAACCACGACCTACACTGGTAGGATTTCAACTTCACTATGAGCAACTTTTAGATTAAAACCTATGCAATCTAGGAGTTAAACTCTTAATCCCTCACTAACTCATAATACACCTATTACAAAGACTTCAACTCATGACTAACTCTAGTCACGACACAAACACAAAGGGTTTATGGTTTTACAAAGGGGGTCCTAAGCAAAGCTTCTAGCTAAGCAAATTAGGAATTACAATGAAGAACAATTACAAAGTTACAACTCAACTAAGGACAACAAAATACTAGATTTAGGAACTGGTCCATAGTAGCGTTAAACTTTTTTCTTGAGGCACTTGAGAATTGAATGCACGAATCTCAGAAGGCTTGAATTCTTAGAGTGAATTCTCAAGTGTTCAAGTGATGTTTTGTTGTAATACTCTTGTTAATACACCTTTGATGACATAACTTGAATGATGTAAGCACTTGGTTGGTCAAAAGACAAGTGACTGCAGAACTGTGTTGCTCTATCTGCACTGTTTCTGTGGCAGTCACTTTCCAGCTGTACACAGTTGACTTTCGTACTGCTGTCAGGGAAACACAAGGGATCAGGTCCTTGTGTTGGTTCTCTATCTTCTAAAGTTGCAGCAGTTGACAATAGCTGGAGTCCGTTGATTATCAATGTGTACCAAGTGTGTCAGGTTCCCCATCTGGTTCTTTGACAATAAATTTGTTAGATCATCAAAACATAAAGCTAAGGCATTGAAAACCCATTAATTTCCCCCTTTTTGATGATGACAAAATTAGACATTGATAACAGATTTTTAGAACAGAAATAACCAGATGATGCAACAGGAACTTCACAAGTTCCCCCTGAGTTTATGCTTCCCCCTTAATTAGATCCCTGTTTCAATTATACTTCCCCCTTTTGGCATCATTAAAAATACACAAGCAGGAAATCAGCATAAAGAAGTCTAGCCTAGCTAACTCATGCCACATATGTGCACACAACATGATAGAAAAGAGAAACAGAGAACATAAGCATTTAGATAGCAAAAGAGGATAGTTTTTATAGATAAAACATATGCCTTTGCTATACAGCAAAGGCAAAGATTGGAGTGTTGTCATCGGGAGCAGTACTGGTACATCCCATCCACATCAAAACATAAGGAAACAAAAACAACTGCCAAGTCATTAAAACAAGAAAGGAAAATCCAGAAACTGGTCACTGAAAGGGGTTGCTTAGGGGGCACTAGAACTAGAGGTCTTGGAAGCTTCAGCAAGGGTTTGGAGAACTAGATATATTCGGGCATTCACCGACTTTTGCTCGGTGAGTAGTTGCTCTTTCAGGTTCTCCACTTGTGCCCAGAGATCAGCATTTTCTTTTGTCAAACGAGCTATCTCCTCATTTGACCCTGGGCCCCTTGGGCCTGCTGACCTTCCAGGATAGCATTCCTCGCCTTCAATCTTCGAATCTCCTCGGTTACGCTGTTTTGAGCATTGATGAGCTGAGAGATTGTCGATGTAGTGCCTACCCCACCCCCCACCCCCCATTCTTCTCGATGCACTCGCATTCCTCCGAACTTGTTTGAGAGAAGGTCTGCTTCTTGGTCCCTACCTTGCACTGTCCCAGTGGGACTTTGAAGAACGTAAACATGTGCGTAAGGAGGAACCAATACGGAAGACCATGATTGCCATCCTTGAAAGTTGCTACCTTCTGCATGTGCTCAATCATGATAGCAGGCAGATTCACTACTGAGAATCCATCTATTGGCTCCATTAGATACAAGTCTTATTTTGAAGCCATGGACCTCCTCCCAGCTCGGGGTAGAAGAACTTTGTTTTAGTAGCTCGAACAACAACTGATAAACAGGCAATAAGGCTTTCTTGTGAACCCGTTCCCCCTGCTGGTTTGCTCCTTCCTTTACAATTGCAATTCTGAAGTTTGAACCACACACATCTTTTACAAAATACACACCAACTTAGGGACTTTAAGAATATCCCAAAGCAGAGCCACATCAAACACGATATCCACCCTATTAACAAAGGCACAAATGTGGTCGGTATCAACGGGAAAGAGGTCAGCGTAGAAGCTTTGAACCTCATCCTCATACACCTTGGGCGCATCTATTTGGAGCAGATGTCCCCACCGTTGAAACTCAACAATCTCAATTACTTATCTCATGCCAGCCATATCAGAAATTGCTGGGTCAAAAGTGCAACCCAACAAGACTTTTTGGTGCCTCAAATGTTCTGTAGCAGACCGAGTCTCACGTTTCACTTTCTTTGCCGAACCAGGTTCCTTTACAGGTTCTAACTTTCTCTTGCCAGAC